AATGAAACCCGCTCCCTAAATGCTCACCTGTCTAAACAGCTGGGAAGCTAGACACCCAGTTCTTATCGACAGCTGCCCTTCGCCTTGCTATGACTCAGTTTCCCTTCTCCTAAGAGAGCCAAGGGGGCAGACGGAAGGAGGCTACAACCTGTATAAAGTTAAGAGGTTACTTTTAAGTGGACCACCAGGTCGAGATTCATTATATATAGGGACGAAAGGCAGACTGGCAGGGCTCCTGGGCTCAAAAGGAGAGCTCCTAGAGTCTTGGAGCCTTGTGCAGCCCCGCTGGCCAGGAGCAAGGTAGGGGCGGGAGTGTGGGCAGAAACCACACCGGGTTGGGCTCAAGTTTCCTCTCTTGGCCAGAAGGGGCAGGAGGAGAGGAGGGCCACGGGGAAAAGAGGAGGGTTGGGGGAAGGACCGAGAACTCAGGCGGAGGGTTTCAGAGAAGAGGCTCGTGCGCCTGCCCTGCCCCGGGGCTCCCCTAGCTCAGCCACAGCCGCCACACTCAGTGCTCAGAAATGACTCGGGGGCGGGGCGCGGCTCTGCCCGGTTCTTAGAGGTGGTGAGGAATCCTCACCCAAGAGGTGTCAGCCCAGGCCCAGCCTCCTCAGAGACGACACCCGGAGCCTCATCTCTCTCCTCACCCTCCTTGGACTCTGCCACAGGTGCCCGAGGGCTGGGGTGGGAGGGTGGATTCTAGTGAGATCTGAGGGGTAGGCTGGGGAGGTGGAGGAGGCGGAGGGAGAAAACAACCAATTTTCAGTACATTCCTAGCAGATCTCGGGCTTTCCCCGGCTACCCCTGGTTTAGGAATTTGACATCTTTGGGAACTCCTCCGGGAGAAGACCTAGATGGTTTCTTGAACGCTGGGATCCTTGGGGTGAGAGGCTGTAGATGGGGACCAAACAGTGGTCCCGAAGGCCCTTGAGGAGCTAGAGAATGGCCCAGAGGAGCCTTCGACAGGCTGTCTTATGGTACCACTCTCCCCTCCACCCCATTCCATGATTCTGCCCTGTCCAGCCAGCTGGAAAGGTTTGGGAGACGCTGAGGAACTGGGGACACTGGATGCCCGGATCTCTAAAATGTGTTCATTGTAGTATGATGGGGTGATTGGGTGGGGGTGCTGAATTCTTGCCTTTGCCCCTTCTCTTCTCTGGACCCAGGGGCAGTAGAGATCAGCTGGAACTGGAAGGGAGAGGAAGTCTTCCAACCCCCAATGTAGTTCCTTCCCAACTGGAACTATTGGCAGCTTGAGAGGTAGGGGGCTTGGAAGCAGCAGAAGGGAAGAGGGAACTGGGGGCTGGGATTCTCTTGTCATAAGCCCCCAAAGGATTGGATTTTGGGGTCCAGGTACGTGGTGACAGACTAGCAAAAGCTTGTCCCCCTCTCTCCTGTTCCCATATGCTTATACAGATCAGAGTCATACACATCCCCTGGGGGTTTGAATCTTGCTCTGATCAAATCTATCTCTTCCCTGGTCCTCCATTCTGTTTCTCTAGATGGCCTCTGTGTGCCTCTGCCTCTTTGGAGTTCTCCCTAATCTTTCTAAATAGGTTGCTCACCTGTCACTCCATACTCTAAGTTTCCTGATCCTTCCATATTCTTTCACTGCCTCTGTTGACACTCAGAATGGTAGGGTAGTCAGACAAGCCTCAGAACAGGGACCCCAAAGCAGCCTGCTCTCTGCCACTTTCCCTTGTCAGGAAGTTAGAGCCCTGGGGCAGCAGTTGAGGCTGAATGCCTGCCTCTCTCCAGCATCCTTGTCCAAATGATCGATCCTCACACTGTATCTGCAAGCATAAAGCTCCAATACCCTTCTGTGAGTACTTAGGGATTGTGATCAAGTCTTTCTGGGTAGGGCTGTCAGGATAAGAGGAAGGAGGATGGATGTTAGTCCCTGGAGATTGCTCCAGTCCTACCTCATCAAAGATGTTGGAGGATTAGAGAAGGAACAGCCAACCTAGTGGGAGTAAGATGGCTATGTGACCTCAAAATGTAGGCTAAACTGGAAAGTGGGAACTGTTTATTATAAAAGAAGAGACACTGGGAGATTTCTCTCAGATCAGCTCCTCCCAGGCCTGCTCCTCTTTCCCAGTATCTCCCTAGTTCCTGTATCCTCTGTGATGTTTGATCCCATTCTGACTTCACCCTCCTTTCTGATCTATCCCACTGGCTGCCAGTCCCCTGTCCTCTAACAGGCAGGCTCCTAAGACCCAGAGGGGCCTATGCCTGTTGTATAGACCACCACCCATCCCTGAGCATCTAGGGAAAAACAAACCCTTTAGCCTGGTGCAAACTTGCTACTGCACCAGAAAGCTGGTTGGAGCTGATCCAGAGGTTCCCCTTAACTCCCTCTCCTCTATCTTTTCCTTTCCTCTGCTCCCCTTCTCAGTTCTCAGTTCCCTGTCTCAGGGAGAGGAGGAGACTGAGCTCCCGGGCTTGTTGAGAAGGGGGTGATATTTAGCCTCAGAGACTGGGACAGCCTGGAGTCCAGCCTTGCCTGGGTCAAAGCTTGGAAGCTAGAAGAAGCCTGGAGATCATTTACAGCTCTCCTTTCTGGCCTTGCATTCTTTTCTGTGAATCTGTATATTTGGACCTGTTCAGTGTTTCTCAAGGTGTTAAATGCTGATTCCTGGTACAAGCACCTGTGGATTTGATTCAGTAGATCTGGGTCAATCTCCAGGAATCTCTTTATAAGTGCGCTGGGGGAGAATGTGGCATACGCTAAAGTTTGTGACAACCTCGGATACATGCAGTCTGTTGCCTCATATACCAATGAGGTTCTATAGTCTTGTTTCCATTTAACGGAAGAGACTGACAGACAGTGGAGGCTCCAAGAATGTGAAGCAATTTGCCCATGGTCATGCATCTGGAGAGCCAGAGAACGTGGTCCCCTGCCTCCTAGGGCAGAATCTTTATACTGCATCTTAGAGTCAGATCCAGGAAGATAGAGGGAGGGACAAAGCGGGGAGGTGAAGGACTATGAGGCAAGAGTCATTGTCCCTGCCCCCTAACCTCGTTCTCCATTCACTTTGCCTTTGGGCAATTTCCGCCAGAACCTGGGTGGGGAGGGTGGGGTTCCGGTGTTGAAATGGCATCCTGGACAGATATAAACACCCCACCCACTCTGCCTACTGGCCAAGGTCCTATGCCTACACCAACTCCCAGCTCTGGGGATGGCAATATAACAAAGGAATGGGGGCAGGAGCTAGGAGAGATCCTCTTTCAAAAGGGTAATTTGTAGTTCTCAAAAATTTTGTGGTAAATCAGAGTGGATTCCATATTAAATAGTTGTGATGGGCCATCCTTGTGGTGGTCTAAGGTCATACAATTTGAGGTCATCCAGTCCTATTCAATGTCCTTCTACAAGTTTCTCTCACTCACCCCTAGCCTGCTTGCCTTTACTTATGTGGGCGGTGGGCACGGCTGTGGGGTCTGGCCCTGAGACATCAGGAGGCCCCCTCCAAAGCTTCCGGGAATCCCTTGCAGGGAGAACAGATGCAGGGAGAGATGGGGTCAGGTAATAGGGAGGTAGAATAAGGACGGGCACTGACAGAGAGAGGAAGGTGAAGGCAGAGGTAAGAGGTTGCTGAGAACTTTAAGCTGTCCAAGCAGAAAGGGACCTCTGAGTCCAACTTGTCCAACTCCCTCATTTTACAAATGAGAAGACAGACGCCCAGGGAAGCGAGATGACTTGCCCAATCTTACACTGCTGCTTTGTGGCAGAGCTGCAGCTAGAGCCTAGATCAAAAGAAAAGGGGCTAGGTGGGACTGGGGTATGTATTCAAGGCTCTAAAGAGATATTCCCCAGAAGGGAAAAGAGACTGAGACTCCACAAAGAGAACTGATTAGTGTAGACCACAAATAAAGGTGTGGAGTACGGAGACACAGGAACAGCATGGGAAGTCATCTGTAAGTCTGGAAGGCTGTATAGGAGGGTAGAGTTGGCCAGTATAGGTTTTAGACCTGATCCTTCCATTTACCATCTTGGGTCTCAGTTCCTGAATGGAACTTACAGAATTTTTGTGAAAATCAATCTCATAAACTAATGCCCATAAAACACCAGCATAGTTCTTGACAAGTGTTTAATAAGTCTTTGCTATGGTTGTTATATTACCTCAGAAGAGGAAAGACCCCTGGCTGTGTGGTTTGAGGTATGGCCAAGATGACCCTGTAGGGACACAGGGCAGATGTCCAGTGTCTCCAGAGTCCATTCCTCCTCTGCCGCATGCAGCTGATAAACCTCTTATCTGGTCCAGGCAGGGGAGCCCAGGACCAGGATAGGAGAAGGCAGGGCTGCTATCAGCCACCAGGCCTGGGCCATATCTCAGGGAGGGGGCAGGGCTGTCTGCTTGGCTCTTCCCACAACACACTCCTTGGGGATCCCCAAGTACTCGCTTTCATCTTGGGAAGAAAAGGCCGAGACCCTAAAACTGGGGATGAGGAAAGCATGAGTGTTCCCTTGATGTTGTCCCAGAGAACAGGAAACAAACAAACAAACAAAAAACTCCAGAAGTTCTGACTTCTGCCCCTGGCCAATTATGAGGAGTAAGAAGTAGGGGAAAAGAGAAGGCATCTTGTCTGAAAAAGAGGCAAAGACCTACTGTGTCCCCAAAGGAACTGCCTGTGGCCACAGCAAGTCAGGTAGAGGTCTACCACAGAAAAAGAACTTCCAGCTTAAGGAGTTGGTTGAGTGAGTCCAGCACACATAAGTGAGGGGGCTAAAGTCTCTCCTTCCCTCAGGTGAAGCTAGAGGGAACCTCTCAATGGAGGCAGGACAAAGGTGCTGACCTCTAGCAGTGGAGACCCTAATCTTCCTTTCTCCTTTGCCACAGGTTCCTGGGGGCCATTTGGGCTTCGGAGGAACCTGAACTAGACCCTGGCCCATTAGGATGCCCCCGTGTCCTCCCCAGCAGAGCAGGAACAGGGTGACACAGCTGCCTACTCCTGATCTGGGTGAGATGGAACTGACTTGGCAAGAGATCATGTCCATCACTGAGCTGCAGGTGAGTGGGGGTGAGGGTGGGGCAGTGGATGAGAGTTGCAGAGAAGCAAGGCCTTTGGCTGGGACTGAGGCAGGGGGCTGGAGGGAGCAGGGACAGGGTCTCAGGCTGAAGGTCTTCCAGGCACTGGAGAAGGAAGGGCTGGAGTTTGAGGGAGATCTGAACTGAAGACTAAAATATCCAGAAGGGGATAGGAGTGGTGGAGGGAAGGATCTGATTGAGGGGGTAGGCTCTCTTGGCAGCCACTCTGCTCACATCTATCTACCCTACCTCCTGCCCTACATCCTTTCTCCTGCCCCATCCTCCCCTTCTCACCTTCTCTTTTGACTTTTCTTTCCTCCTACCCTGCCCATTTTCTTCCCTGTTTTCCTCCTCCTGCCCTTAGTAGCTGGGCCCCTTTCCCTCAGGTAACAGAACAGTAGTAGTTCAGGGGCCTCAGGAAGGGTAGTCAGACTATGCCGGGGTCCTCTCCTCCTGCTAGTTGGACAAAGGGGTGTCTGTTGGCTGAACAATGGTGCCTTTGTCCTCAGCTGGGCTGGAGCAGGGTGGCTTCCCTGACGTGGGTTGGGGACCCTGTTTCCAGAATGTTCTCTCCTCTTTGCTGCACCTGGGAAGGGACAGAGAGGCGGAAGAATAGAGGGCAGAGCTTGGGCTGACTCACCAAGGTGCTTCTTAGCTCCCAGCCCTGGTTCTGCCCCGCCCCCTTTTCTTCCCCTGCCATCACTGCCTGGCGTCCTCAGGATTTGCCCCAGGACTTCCTCCCACACAGCAGCTCCCTCTGCTGGGCACCTGGAGCAAGGCCAGGGTCTGAACTTGACCCTTTGACCCTAGAGACCCCAGGATGCAAGGGTTCTAAGAGGTCATCTTAGATAACAGCTCCTTGTCTTCCTGAAGGAAACAAAAAAATATGAACCATTTCAACCCAGTAAGAACGTCTGAGGAGGAGATTCTGTAATTGTTCCAATGCTAGGTAGTCCTTTCTGAAATCTGATCTTAGTGACTTCCATTCTTAAGCTGCTTTCTTCCTGGAACGGATGCATCACAGATTTACAAGAAGCTTCTGATGATTTTTAATACCTTTCTGTTCCCTTGCTACTATCTCACTGGGTCTTTCAGAAGGATTTGGCCTGGCCCTGAGAAAGAGCTGGTGTCTCTTCCTCAGCCTGCCTCCAAACTTTTTTCTGTATTTCTTTGCAGGGCCTAAACACTCCAAGTGAGCCATCATTTGAGTCCCCAGCCCCAGCCCCATACCCTGGGCCCCCACAACCCCCAACTTACTGCCCCTGCTCAATTCACCCCGATGCTGGCTTCCCCCTTCCTCCACCACCCTATGACCTCCAAGCACCCACATCCCATGTACCTGATTCCCCATACTCCTATGGCAACATGGCCATACCAGTGTCCAAGCCACTGACCCTCTCAGGCCTGCTCAGTGAACCCCTCTCAGACCCCTTGGCCCTCCTGGACATTGGAATGCCTGCGGGGACCCCCAAGCTTCAAGAAGACCCAGAATCAGACTCAGGATTATCCCTCAACTATAGTGATGCTGAATCTCTTGAGCTGGAGGGGACAGAGGCTGGACGGCGGCGCAATGAGTATGTGGAGATGTACCCAGTGGAGTACCCCTACTCACTTATGCCCCACTCCTTGGCCCATCCCAACTACTCCTTGCCACCTACTGAGACATCCTTGGCCTTAGAGCCTTCCTCAGGCCCTGTGCGGGCCAAGCCCAGTGCACGGGCGGAGGCAGGGAGTCGGGATGAGCGCAGGGCCCTGGCCATGAAGATCCCCTTTCCCACGGACAAGATTGTCAACTTGCCAGTAGATGACTTTAATGAGTTGTTGGCACGGTACCCACTGACTGAGAGCCAGCTGGCGCTAGTCAGGGACATCCGACGGCGGGGCAAGAACAAGGTGGCCGCCCAGAACTGCCGCAAGAGAAAGCTGGAGACCATCGTGCAGCTGGAGCGGGAACTGGAGCAGCTGGGCAGTGAGCGAGAGCGGCTTCTTCGGGCCCGCGGGGAGGCAGACCGGACCCTGGAGGCCATGCGCCAACAGCTGACCCAGCTGTATCAGGACATTTTCCAGCACCTGCGGGATGGAGCAGGCAACAGCTACTCCCCTGAGGAGTATGCACTGCAACAGGCTGCTGATGGGGCCATATTCCTGGTGCCCCGAGGGACCAAGATGGAGGCCACAGACTGACGTAACCCAGAGAGGTGGGACTGGTAATGAGGATTCCTTTCATTCTCTTCTGATAAAGGTACTCTTCAACACCGAGCCTGGAAGAAACTGAGTATTCTAGACCAAAGTGGACAACAGTGGGCACACCTTGCATTTAGAGGCTCTAGGGTGTGTTCACCTTGAGGCGAGCATGTGAGGGGAGGCTGGAAACTCTCTTCTGTGACTCAGTTTCCCAGGTCTCCAACCTCCAGGTCTTGTCATTTGGTCTATAAAGTGCTCTACAGAAATATACTTCTGTGTCTTTCTTCCCAAGGGAGAGTGATGAATCTGAACACTCTTCGGAGCTTACTGCTTGTTGGGCGTGGGAAGGGATTCTGCCAAGCTCATTTCTCTTACCTGTGAGCTGTGTGTTTGCGAGGAAGAGAGGGGGTGTCAAATGAGGAGAGAGGTACACACATAATTTGGGCTCCAGCAGTATGAAGATCTATTACTTTAATCTCCCTTTTCAGAGCCAGGGATAGTGATCTAAGGAACTCCACAGTCTCTGGTGGCCCCCTATTTATAGAGCTAGGAGAGCTGCCAAAGCTGGGCTCTGGGGTTTAGGTCTCGCCCCTCTCAATCCTTAAAGAGCACCAGAAAGTCTAGAAAGCCTTTTCTCTGTTCTTCCCCTCCTCTCTACTTTTCTAGCACTCTCAGAAAACTGAGTGAGCTGCTCTTGATTGGAATGAGAATTTGATTAGACACCAAGTTTCAGGGATTTAACACCCAAGCCTCAGTGAAACCGGCTTCATAATGCAGTACAATATGCGTTCCTGTGAAGTTTTCTCTCTCTCTGGTTATGTTAGACAAACACTACCTAATTCTTGCTTTGAGGCCCCCTTTTCTAGATCCCTGAAGATCTGCCTTTTATTAGTTTATTTGGAACTTGAATACTGATTGATTTAGATTGCTTAGCCACATTAATCAAAATCCAATCAAACCTCCGTGACACCACCACACCCCCTTCTCTCCTTGCTTGGAGTTGGGTGGTTTCCAATCTTCCCCATCACTGAACTGCTTCAGAGTATTTTAAGTCTATGTTTCTATTCAATTTTACTAGCTCTATTGTAACAGGGGAACCTTACTTCTAAGTTCCTTGATACAGACATCACAGATGTTGAGACCCAAAAGCATACAAATGATCAAGGGAGATGTGAAATCTCCACGTCTGTAGATTCTGAAACACATGGTCTGGGTTTAGGGAATAAAAGCAACTTGACATTTCTAATAGATTTGAAGACTTCAATGTTCAGACAACTTACGTTCTCTGAAAAATTGAAAATGTAGGATCAAGTTGTAAAGGATAGGGCCTGGGACTGGCAGTTCAGAAATTATTAGTTCGTCTCACCTAAGGGACATCAGACACTGAGGGCTGATTTTTTTGTAACCAAGCTCACAATGGGTTGTAATTCAAAGACAAATTTAAGCATTCATTTACTCAACAAATATTGAGCACCTAGTAAGCTCTAGTTACTGTTTTAATAATTAGAGATACAGTGAAGAGGAGAAACAAAGCCCTGCTCTCATGGAGATCACATTCACATACAGGTAGTCCCCAATTTAGATGTGGTTCTATTCCGGCCACTCTGTCATTGTTCAATCTCATTTTTTGGTTCTCATTATTATTGCCTTTTATTATCAGTATCTTTATAAATCATAACATTGAACATCTGTGAGTAAACATCTGAATGATAACAGCAAATTATATGCTGCAACATTGTATGTAGGATGTATTACTAATGATGATGTAAAAAAAAAAAATACAGATGGTTATGAGTGTGGTTCATCATAACTTGAATACACTTTAAGTTGGGAACTACCTGTACCACACACAGTCTGGCCTAGTTGTAGTTTGGTATACACTGACCTAAAACGACAAGACTATTTCCTTACCTATAAAACACAGAATTTAGTAATCTTATGTGTAAGGAGCCCTGGTGGTGGAGTGGTCAAGCGCTCAGCTGCTAACCAAAATGTCAGTGGTTCAAACCCACCAGACACTCCACGGGAGAGATGTGGCAGTCTACTTCTGTAAAGATTACTCATTGCCTTAAGAGTTGATTAAGACTCAGTAACCCAAGAGTCAGAGCTGAACTGCCCGTTTCCAAGGCTGGAATTTTTACAGGAGCAAACTGCTGCACCTTTCTCCCACTGAGAGGCTGGTGGGTTCAAACTGCCTGCCTTTTGGTTAGCAGCCAAGTACTTATCCACCGCACCACCAGGGTTTTTCCCTGTAAAGATTACAGTGTTGAAAACCCTATGGGGCAGTTCTCTGTCCTACAGGGTACCTGAGTCAGAATCCACTGAGGGCAACATGTTTTTTTTAATCTTACGTGTAAAACATGAAGCAAAGTATATGGAGTTTGGAGTGTTTAACAGTAGGACAATGATAAACTTTCAATAGTTTTAGCAAACTCTTGTAGTAATGTTAACATGCTCAATTACTAACTGAAAGGCTGAAGGCTCAAGTACACCCAGAGGTGCCTCAGGAGAAAGGCCAGGCAATGCAGTTCTGAAAAAACTCAGCCTACAGAGCACAGGTCTACTGACACACAAGGGGAGCACCATGAGTTGGAATTGACTCAAGGGCAACTTGTGTTTGATAGTTGTTCTCTCCCTCCAAAAAGCCTGGATTGCCCAAAATAGAAGCCTCCTGAAATAAACACAAGTTACAAATGTAGATTCTTTCTCATCAGAATCCTAGCGGTAAGATGGTTGTTTCCTGATACCTAGGGAAGCAACTTCCTGAAATCTCGAGTGGCAACACCAATCTTAATTCACCAAGATTTATTCTTGGGGCAATTTTTTTGGGGGTGGGGGGCAATTTCTTTATAGCAATCCTTCCCTGCGGGTTTTGTTGGAGAGAAACCTGGAGGACCTGAGATTCCTCAGATTTACTCAAGTGGTGTGGAGCTCACGGACAACTTAGTCCTATAGATGGGACATGTTACATTAGCATAGATACAAAACTGTCCCCCCCTCAAAAGGTACCTTGTAATCAGAACAGGAAACCTAGATTCAGGCCCCTCCCCAGCTTTTGCTAGTTTTAAGATTGCATGACCCTTTCTTGAACATGGTAAGCAATTGCTAAATTGCCCCTAAAATGATTACCTTCGAGAAACTAAGGCTTCTCTTCCATATTCAGCTCATCCTCTTGAGACTTGAGACAACTGGCTAATAAATGTAACTTGTTCATCTATGATGAGATCTCTTATGCTCCTCTCTCCAGGACTTAACAGTTTACAAGCACAACTCCCAGAAAAGATGCACTAAAGCTCAATGGCAGTTGTTAACTTGTTCTACGGCTTGTTTTTTCCCTGTGCTAGGGCAACTAGAAAAGTAACATGCTCAAGTGGAACAAGCCAGTTGAGAGTTCACTTCTACTGGGCCAAGTTATCCCTGCAGTTAGAGCTGGTTTCTCTTACCTTCACTAAAACCATGATATGGAATGGGACAAGTAATTTGGACTTGAGGCTTCTTTACAAAAAAAAAAAAAAAAAGAACCCATTGCCATCATTAGTATTTCATTAACACCTGCATTTTATCATTCCCAAACTTGAAATGGGAAATAATGTGCAGCATCTCAAGTTATTTACCATAAATATGAAGACCAAAAACATAAGAGATGGAACAAAACTAAACACAATTTATTAAAAAATCCATTCACAAAATTGAATGATTTTAACCGCACAGCAGCTAATGTGAACTGCATGGCAGTTGAGAAATGAAAGGCACAGTGGCTCAGATAAAGGTTGTCCTCATACTCATAAGGATGTTCCTGCAAAAGGAGAAAAGATCATTAAGTATTTACATTAAAGCAGAGAAATAAAGGATTCCACAACTCCATTCTCTTTTCTCTTTACTAGAAATATCGTTTTACTACCTGACCAGATTATAAAATCATTCTTGACTCTGAAAGGCAGTCTGCCATTCTTACTTTACACTATGGAAATATCAAAATTAAAAAAACAAAAAACAAAACTTACCTTTTAGCTTGGACAGATTAGATTTTTTTTTTTTTAGAGAGCAGAAAAGTCTGTAGTAGCAGATTCTTCCCTAGAAAAGTAAACAATCTTTAGAATGAGCTTTTCTTCTGGACCAAATCCCATCTCAAGCTAAGCCACCCACCACCCATTAATAGCCCCCCTGCCCCCCCCACAATCATTTTGGGGAAAAGATTGTAATGCATTACTTTGAGCCGTTATTTTAAGAAAATGGGTGCAAAGATAAAAATTAATCAAAATTAAAGGGCAAAAATATATATCACAGGATTAAGTAATTTAATTACAGTGCTCACTTCCTTCAATTGGGAGCCACCAAAACTAGGGCATCATTTACAATTCAACTCCAGAAAAACCAAGTTCAGCTTAACTGGACTAGTTTTTTTTTGGCTCAATACATTAAGAAACATTTAACAGAAAACTGGATTTTAGATAACTATATGGATGTAAGTAAAATCTGTTCTTACCTACCAGCATAGCAATAAAACCTTTCCTCCTGGTTCTGACTGCTAGTCCTAAGAGTCAGGTGTGTGCCTTACTCTTGTCTGCCTCCTTCCTTGCGATGGTCACTGAAACTTCACTCCCTCCTAGCTTTCATGGAGCATGTCGTGGCCTGCCCCTGGCTTATCTGTACTCCACATACCACAAGTGTCTACTCTCAGCTGTAGAGTGTCTGAGCTCGGAGCCATTCGCGCTATACTTGCTAGCAGTTCCTAGTAGCTGAACATCTCTCCTGGATCTTTAAAGGCATTGTCAGGAATCCTGAGGTATCTGCAAACTCCCTCAACAGTTAAGGTTCCACCTGCTATTGCAAACTCAGCCAATATCAAACCCATCGAACTAACATTCATCCTTCCCCGCCCACCCCCACCCCCACGCACCCTCCCCCACCCTCCTCCCCAAACTTCAAGTAACACACCCATGGGATGGAATACACAGTCCTATTGATCAACAATCTCTATTACTACTAGGTACAATGGCACTGAAATTAAGAACACACCAAAGGGAAGGTTCAGAAGAACCTACGTACAGACAGTTATTGGATATTAAATAACCAATCAAAAATTTAGAAATGAATTTCTATACAATTAACACTTCAGGATGGTTGTGTGCTCTTGTACCGTATTTAAAGGAAAACTGCAGTTAAGACAAACGTATATGGATAAGAACATAGTTCCTTACTGTTATTCTAATTTCTTAAATTTCCAGTTAACTGTGCTCAGTCTATATAAAGATCCACCCAACCAGAACCCAATAAAACGGCAGTTTTCCTTTAATGTAAGCCTATTTTTTAACGTTAAGAATAAAATTTGGTATTGGTTTTCTTTTGAAAAGCTCTTCCAACACTTCTAATCTGTGGACTTACAGGGTGGCATTAGCCAGCAGTTGGTCTATTCTCTGGCAGAGTTTTGAAGTGGAATTTTGAGGCATTCAGCATTATTCAGGGGTAGTGGGTAGTGGGTAGGGTAAGTCCAAATCTCTGCCAGTCCCAAATCCATACAGTTGTCATTCCATTCAAGATATTAAATTGTTTATTGATTACACATGATAATGGATGATACATTAAGTTCCGATCCCATCTATAGCTTTATCTGGTACCATTATTCAATTTAGATATTGCATAAGATATGCCAACATTCATTTTTATAACCAAATAAATTCTGTAATTTTGCTTAGGTGACCATTTTAATGGTGAACTCCAGGTCACAACACAGTAACTATCAGTTCAACTACACCAAGGTTTCTGAAGATAATGGCTTCTCTCTGCTCCCAAGCAGTCTTCTAAGGATGTAAATAAATTCTGAATGGAACCTGGCATCACCCTGAAGGAAATCTAAACTTTCACACTGTTGGGGCAGTTTTATATCAAGATGGCTTCAGAGTAGACTAACTTTACACAGCACATTTAAAAAAAGACACATTTATTCAGCGTCATGATCAGACTATTACATTTAGCAATCAACAGCATGGGTGCAAAAAAAAAAAAAACTACATTAAAACCCTTTGTTGGAATGCTTTACACTTTCCACAGAACAGAAACTAAAATAACCTGTTATACAATTAGTCACAAATACAGTCCTCGATTTTTTTGCCCATACACATGAGTATTGTCTAAAACATGTCTTCTTTGTAGCAGCTAGGCCCTGCCACCACTGTGCTTGGCTGAGTTCACAAATCTGTTGTAACCTGTAGCTTCCCTGTCACTTCTCTGGCTCTCCTCTCCTGCTAAGCTTTGTTTCCTGTTGAACAATATGGAATAAAGTTGTTAATCTAAACATATTAATACTCAAGGCTACAATCCAATAGCAAGTTGTTCCCCACAAATTTTGCTATTCTGAAGATTAACTTAATATCCACAATTTTACTGCAATTATGTTAACTATGTTGCAATGCTCAGCTACATTAGGGTTACTGGGTTCATTAGCAATTATAAAAAAATTAAGTCAAAACATGAAAAGGTGCTTACTTACCTGGCAGCCATTAAAACCTTCTGCCACTGCCATAGCTACTGCTGCTGCTTGAACCGCCATAGCCACCTGAGAATAAAATTTGTTCCTTTAAATTCTAATACTTTTGCATTTAAGACAAAGAAACATGCAGTGAATCACAGCTCAACGGAACATTTAAAAATGACTGTTGCCTAAGTTGGCAAGAGAAGTGTTCCCTTTACCAATGCTAGCTATAGCTACGCTCAGCCCTCCAGTATTACATATACACGATACCTTGGTTTCGTGGTTTGGCAAAGTATTGACCTCCACCACCGTAAGGGCCAGAGCTTCTGCCTCCAAAGTTTCCTCCCTTCATGGGTCCAAAATTTGAAGATTGATTGTTATAACTGCCAAAATCATTGTAGCTTCCACCACCTCCAAAATTGCTTCCTAGGAAGGGAAAGAGGACCTTTGTCTGTTACTTGGGGAAGATGACAGCTCCCAATTCTGTTACTGTTCCCAAGTGGAAAAAGGTTTTAGCGTTTGCTTGCCTTCCTCCCAAAGAGTGGCTCCAGTAATTGGTTATCCTTGCATTTCCATCTTGTCTGGACAAGACATTAAGTTGAATAATCCGGCAGTTTAAAATCAACCCAAATCAGCATAAAACAGATTGTCAAGTTTTACAGCACATAAAATAACTTATTTCTAACCTTGAAGGCTTTTTTGCACCTAGGGCCACTGCAAAGAAGTTTCATGGATGTATCAACTAAGTGCCTGAGGTCCCAACAGAAAGAATTAAGATGCTAAACCCTGCAATGGAAGCCAATCTAACTCCAAATGAAGACACCACTATCCATTTATTCATCTATTCGGGAGTGAGGCGGCCCCAGCTTAAAGCTAGGAGGAGGTAGCACAGCAAGTCCATTTACTTTTGAAAAATACCATACGTTGTTAACATTTAATGCTTCTAAGAGCATCAAGCCCCAAAATATGGGCAAACTAAGAGGCTAGTCTAGCTAACACACCAAAGACTTGGATCACTGGATACCTACCACTACCACCGCCAAAGCCGCCTCCGCCTCCTCCGTTGTTATAGCTGCCACTCCCGCCATAGCCACTGCCCTGGTTTCCATAACCCTGTCCACCACTTCCATAGCCTCTGCTTCCTCCAGAGTAACCAGGACCGCCTCCTCCATAACCACCTACAAGAATACAATTCTTCTCAATAAGACAAAAGTATTTAGCAACCAATATCTGTGCAAGCGTAATGGCTAAAGCCTGCTCACAGCATGCGTGTTACGGTGAAAACTAAGCTTGTCATGCACTAGTTTTAGTCTCTTCTAGCCTACTCTAAAGATAATAGATTACCTACATGTTCTTTACATACACATATATAAAAACCCCACAAATAAGCCACAAAACCATACTCACCATCATTACCAAATCCATTATAACCATCCCCACTGCCTCCGTATCCACCACCACCACGGCTGCCACCAAAGCCACCTAAAGAAAGAAGATTTTTAAATTACACCCTCAAGGCAAAATTTTAGGAGGCAGTCTCTGTACTGTAAAAAATAAATCACCCATTGACGATTTGCCTTCTCACTAACCAGAAGACATTTTTACGTTATAAATAAAATGACTCTAGTGGTTAAGCACTTGGCAGCAGCAGTTTGAATCCACCAGTCTGCTTCTGTAAAACATTCACAGCCTTGGAAACCCAATGGGACAGTTCTAACCTGTACTGTAGTGTTTATGCAAAAGGGGTGTTAATCTGGGTAATTAAATTACAAGTTTACTGAAAACTACAACCATACATACCTCGACCACTGAAGTTTCCTCCACGACCAAAGTTGTCATTCCCACCAAAACCACCTCCACGGCCACCACCAAAGTTTCCAGAACCACTTCGACCTTAAGAAATACGTCATGTCAGACCATACAGACTGGGTTACTCACAACTCCTTTAAGGCTTAATTGAACAACAAACGCACCTCTTTGGCTGGATGAGGCACTGGCCATCTCTTGCTTTGACAGCGCTTTCCTTACTTCACAGTTGTGCCCATTCACAGTATGGTATTTCTGAACTAAAGAATTTCAAAGATGAAGAAAATAAGATCTTAGCGTTGCAAATACCATGTGGATTTTAGAATCCTTAGTAAGCTCCAGTCATCCGATACTTACTAACAATCTTATCTACGGAGTCATGGTCATCAAAAGTAACAAAAGCAAAACCCCTCTTCTTGCCACTGCCTCGGTCAGTCATGATTTCAATCACTTCGATTTTCCCGTACTGCTCAAAATAATCTCTTAGATGATGTTCCTCAGTGTCTTCTTTAATGCCACCAACAAAGATCTTCTTCACAGTTAAGTGTGCACCCGGTCTTTGAGAGTCCTTAATAGGAAAGATACCACTTAAATTACTTAGCAAAAACTACCCCCAAATCAAGAACTTGAAATAAAAAACTGAAGTCCGCCCAGTGACACATTTCCAAATAGCTAAGAGAAGGAAAACACTAACTTCTCGTGAGACAGCCCTCTTTGGTTCCACAACTCTTCCATCCACCTTGTGTGGCCTTGCATTCATGGCTGCATCCACCTCCTCCACAGTAGAATAAGTGACGAACCCAAAGCCTCTGGAGCGCTTGGTGTTTGGATCTCTCATTACCTGAGAAAGTTGTCAGAATTCACTTAATACATGCTAGGGGCCCAAAACTTACTGTCATTCCTACATCAAGGAAATAGAAAACTTTATACAAGGAAGATCATAAGACTCAGTCCATTAACAAAGTCATACCTTTCAAGCTATACTCCCATTAACCTTTACATTTACACTCAAACACAAACTACAGAAATAACGAGCCAAAAAACTCTATTAGTTCTACTGCCCTTTTGTCTTACCACACAGTCCGTGAGCGCCCCCCATTGCTCAAAATGGCTCCTCAGACTCTCATCTGTTGTTTCAAAGCTCAAACCACCGATGAAGAGTTTCCGCAGCTGTTCGGGCTCTTTAGGAGACTAGAGGTGGAAAAAAAGAGTTGAACTATTAAACAATACTCAATTTCCAGTACGGAGGCATAAAACTAGACAACAACATACATAACCATTTATTGTTCCTTCAGGCTGCGACAAGCCACGTGCTTTTCCCTATCGGGGTGGCGCTATGTTGAGACCGAAGTTCCGCGAAGCCTCAAGCGCATGCGTCCCTATGCGCCTTCAGACGCACGCGCAACAATAGGACTTGGCGGGAGGAGCATGTCGCCGACATAAGACTACAAACTTTTAAGAAAACTTGACCATGGAGACAAGGGGGAAAAATAGATCGATTGTGACCAAGAGTTCTGCCAGCCTTAACCAGAGTCCCGCGAAATAACTAATGGTTGCCGGAGCGGCCTCATGGCGACGAGGACAAAATGGCGACTCGAACTTTGGG